GATTAAAGCCATGCTGTCATCCCATCATCAGCTATATTCTCAACCTTTCTCTCATTAAAACAGAAGCACAAGACACAACCAAAGATGACTCAAGAAATCTCCTTGAAAAATTCCTCACTTGATGGATTTGTTTTTATATGAGTGTTATGGAGTTAACATATAATAATGTTCTCCAGTGGAGTAGGGTAGAACCAAGGAAACTAATGAGTTGGGAATCAATTTTATAAATGTAAAGTGTGTGGGACACTGTTAAATGCTTTTCTGTAATCAATGTATGCCACATGTACGTTTCTGTGTTGCTTACAAACTTGCCGCAGGATAACAAAGTCAACAAGTTTCTGTTCTTTACAACCTTTATGATTTCTACTGCAGCCTTTCTTTTGTTCTGTATATGTCATGTTCATCAATATAATTGTATATATTGTTTGAAATGCAAAAAGTAAGAATCTTGGAAGACATATGTAATTGGTTTGTACTGTGCAGGGTCTTTGATGTTATTGTTTTTTGGTTTCATGTAGGTGATACCCTGCATGAGAAAAATTGGCATTTATAGATTTTTTATGATACAAATTAAATGTCTAGATAGTTCCTGGTGCAGGGATATGAATTTTTTGTACCAAAAATTCTGAATATTGTCTACACCAGGTGTTGTCCAGTTGTATGCTTTCTGAATTGTGCAATGGATGGCTTGTGTATTTGTTTCAACACAATGTATACTAGGTGTGTCCTGCATGTCTTTGCTCTCCTCTTTGATTCAGTCCACATCAGCATTGTGCATGACAGCAGTAGACCAAAGACCAATAATTTGTAAGTTCTTCAGTTGGCATGTCATTGTGATGGAAATCGTTAGTGAATCTGGTATTAATTTGCCTGTAAAACAGTTTTTTATTGTTTGTGAACAGTTTAATTTTGTTGTTTCCATACAGAGCAAATTTTGTAACAATTGAGTTGCTAAGCTTTGGCTGCAAGATTTCGTTTCATTGTGTCAATGTATTCTTCAATGTAGACATTGTGTTGGTTGTATTCGTGTTTTTTTTTTTAACTTTCTTAAAAAGTTTTTTAGTTGTTCCATTAATTTAGGTGTTGTTTTGTTATTAGCATATTATGTCAGCCTGCCTAGCTGCTGTCTAATTTGTTTATATGTGGTTCTATTCTTCTTTGCCAAGCAACCATATGAAATGTTTTTAATCTGTGCACTTCTGTCTGTGGATGCAGTTTTAGTCCATGGTAGGTCACTACTGTGAATGCACATGTCTGAGAGTGTAGAAATAAAATTAATGCAATACAATCATCACTCATCATAATATTACTGGTGTGTAAATTCAGTAAAATAGATGACCATTGAAGATGGTGGAAAGTATTCGTTTGGAAGTGAATTATAGCTGTTCCTTGGTAATCCGACAGGTATGGGACCAAAGGGGTGTCGGATTACCAAAAGTGATTACATATTTGGCATTGTTTTGCTAGCAGTAGCCTACAATATTTTCTACTCTAATTATTCGAACAGAACTGCTCACGGAAAACACATGAAATGTGTGTCATTGTGTAAGAATTGGGTGGGGATATTCACGTCGCGACATGCTTCTGTGCAAGCAGACACGTAACGGGGACGGGTATCTTGATGGGAGGTGCATCGGACTACTGAGCATGTCGGATTACAAAACGTCGGATTATCAAGGGACAGCTGTATTGCTGGTTTTTTTCGGTTAATTACATATTTATTTTATAGAATTAATGCAATCTGGTAATATGTAAGTGTTCACATAGTATAGAGGAGGCTTTCTCATTTCCCGATGTTTTGCTTATCCCAAGATTTCGGGATAAAAGTGAACTATTTTCCAACATCCTGGGATATCCCAGGATAGAATTAATTATTTTTCATTTTTTAAAGTAATTTAACACATTTTGTAACCTCCAAAATCATATTAATAATGCTGTGTAAGATACATATAAAAATTGTCTTTGAATTACATAAAAATTTTCACAAATAGTAAAAATTTATTAAAGTTAGCTGGAGACTGCATACAACAACAACAACAAAAAAAATGATTTGAATCTTTTTTTTTGTTGTTTTATGCAGTCTTTTTTACAAGTTAAAAATTAAAAAGAATGAACTTAAATAAAACTCCTAACTTAGAAGGTAACTTTTGTTTTTTAAAAAAAACATATAAAAATTTACATTATTATTTTGTATTAAGATTTTAAAAAGCAAAGATCGTCAATACTCTGATCACTCAATCTGATTCTTATTTTAGTAATGAAAAGTCTTGCTACCGAAAATGCCCTTTCCGATTCAATTGATGTGATTGGAATTATCTTTAATGCATTTAAGAGTAGACAGATATGTTTTTTTTTTTCACTTGTAGCCTGGAAGACTCCTAGTTTGTTTTCAAGATTGTAGTACTTCTTTTGCTTTCTAGTATTCTTGATTTGTCTACCTCAGCTACTTTAATAGAAACATCAAGCTTATAGCCCAATAATTTGGCAGTTCATTTGTCTTTAATAATCAGATTTATGAAGAAAAACTTCACACTTGCATACTTCGTACTCATTTGTATCGTTGCCCAATTTGCACAAACTGGCATTATGCAGTTATCGAAGCTACCGGGCATGGTTAAAAATTAAGACAGCATAAGCACAATTATTCTAGATATTACAGGTACTGACAAGTAAAGAATTTTCAGAGTCCTGCCACAAATAAGCTACATATTGATTATTGACCATTTGTGACATGCCATAATGAGCAAAAATTTAAGAAACTAATAAGTAGGTTTAAAATTGATAAATACAAATGTATTCTGACAGTGAATGAGATAGTTATGCTTTCTATTTGCAAAATTTCTTAACCTTAACACAAAATAAGAAAAAAAGTGAATTTTTAAGAAATTTGCGGGATTTCCCAGGATAAGAAAAATTTCCTGGGTTAAAAAACAACCGGGATCACGAGATCCATTTGAGAGTTTTCCCTAGTATAGAGTTTTCCCTAGTAGTTTAGAAGTGTTGATTTTGGGAATGTGTGACAGTTATGTAGGGTTAGTGCCTGTAAATTTTGTGAGTGTTTCCTGGAACAGAAGAGAGAAAGTATGAATTAAACCTGAATCTATTTCAGGCAGTAAAGAAGTATTGATAACAATCCACAATTGTGGATTGTCGTTACTCAACGCAGTGTTAAGATTACTAGTTGTTTTGTGTTAGAAGTATTGATATTGCCAGCATCAGTGAAAATAGTGTGGTAGGAACAGTATTGTCAATGAAAATATCTTAATGAGTCTGAGGGATTGTGTGATCGTTGTTGATGTAACTGTTCCGCAATTTGTTGTTTGATATGTTCTAGTGTTGTTTGTAGTACAAGGTTGTTATGTATAATTGTTATTTTTTGATAAACAACGCTTCGTACAGTGACAGCGAGACGAAAATATTGTTGCGAGAACACCAGAACAATATCCATAACAAGCATACTACAGAACTTTCTAGGAGTGTGGCAAAAAGGAATCGTGTGCCTAAAAGGAAGGAAACTTCACTACTAATGCAACGCGTCGACAAGAAGTTACTTTCATCTAGAAGGCACCATTTATCAAAACCGGGTAATAAATCTACATCGAACCTTTCAAGAATTTGGAGGTCACTTTTTAAAAATTTGGGCAGTTAACATTTACATTATCGAGGTACTACCAATTTGTCACAATTCTAAATTTACTAATGACACGTAAACGTTTACGTTATTATTTTATGCAATTTTATTGTTTTTTCATACAAATTTACACGCAGCCATTCTCGCGCTTACGTCGGTTTAAATTTATTTAAAAAATAACATTCGAATTCCTTTTTGAATATTTAACATTCCTCTATTTAAAAATTTTAACGTTCTAAAGTTACCGTCTTCGCCCAAATACGGCACGGATAAAAACGTCAAAAGTGCCGGCGCGGACAACAAAAACCTTCTACGCCGACAGACGGCAGCCAGTATTATTAAGGACACAGAATACTTATAGACAATTACAATAATATAAAGGGTGTTCCGAAACACGTCGCTTTTACATCTCAAAGGGACTCGTTAACTACAGTAGGCAGACTTTTTCGAGTCACCATATGTACACACACATACAAAAAGTATAACATTCTAGAAATACAATATATGTATAGCAATTCATAGCATCAGAACACTTTGATTTCCAGGATTTAAAGTCTTTAAATTATTTAAATACATAATACGCAAGCACGAACGCGTAACACGCAAGTTTTCGGCCACCCACGCGGGAAAAGTAGCCCGCTTCCACTCTATTTCGACGTTCGGAATCAAAATAGCTCGTAAACATAGTAAACGAGCCGAAGCACCATATTTTTATCCTTTAAATTTCGGTACATACAAAAACATTTAATTCAGACCACAATTTAACCGAGAAAAGCACTCCACAGAACCAACGCAATTAAACATACCGCGGAATTAAATGTATTTTGAACTCGGGCCGTATTACGGAATTCCCGTAAGGTCGAAATCTCATACAAGGTCCGAAGAACTGACAAATGGAAGTTAAATAACCAAAGACGGAAAAATTCGTTTATCGCAGTTATCAACATCGCGATTAATGAGTCATTTTGTAAAGCTGGCGGAGGACGATTACCACAGGCAATTCTTTTTACTAAACAAACTGCGACATTTTGGGTTTTATTTTACTTTTTAACTATTAAAACCCGCATTCGGAAGTTACGAGCGGCATCGTAGCCACCGACCACGTTTACGCAAAGCCCGAAACGTAATTAATTCGTCGTCAAATTACTTTTATAGAACAACTTGGAATAAAATAGGAGAGAATTTTATATCGCGACGTCTCCTTCCGGAGAGAGAGCCAAATGACAAGTCGACGTAATACCAGGGGTTTTAACCCAGGGCGTTGCTAAACGCGCCCACTAACGGAGTCAATTCCCCGAGTTACCGAAAATTTCTGTAAAAAAAACAGAAAGAAAAGCCAGGGTCGGACGAGACTGGACGGAAGACTTACTTTCTCTTGGTCCGAAATGAGTTCCTCGAAATCCGTAGCCATCTTTACCTAGAACACGCCTTTTCAAAGCCAGGAACTGTGGGTAACCCAACGAAATCTCTATCGCTCGATGGCAGCCGACAGATGTCACTCTTCGACACTTTTGTAATTCTCTTCCACCACCGTCGCTGCTATAAATGGTAATTTGCAAACTATTTCTAGTGTATTAATAAAACAAAATTAAAAAGAACGGATTGGCTCAATCTTTACGGAAACAATTTTTTTTTCTCTTTCCTGATAAACGCAATATAAATGAAAGGCGTCAGAATTTTTATTCGATTTTTAAGAAAAAATACACTTTTTCCATTTACGATCGTTGCCGGCCATCAAAAATTTGTGAAAAAGAAAATTGAATTAATTTCGGATTTTAAACCCGTTATTCCGCGGCAGAGATGGTGCTGCGGGATGTAAATGTAGAAAAATCGGGTTGTTGATAAACTAAACGCCGCTAAGCAATGCCGTCCAGAGCGTTTTCTTCGAGCGCTGGGCTCGGCAATCCTCGCAGCGGTTTCACTGCTTCGAGGTTAAATCTGCAGCGCTCGTTTCAGTTGCTTTTCGCGCTGCGACGAGATGGCTGAATCCACGGTGAAAATCCACGACCGAGCTCCCGGTGTTCGGGGTACGAAGGCCGCTCGGCCACTAGTTGGCCCTCTTTATGTTGCGGAAAGCTGCGTACATTAAATTTAAATCATTAATTTTACCTCCCAAACAAAGCCTTACAAAAATGCCAAAGCGTATCGCAAAAATTAATTACTTTTAAAATGTTTCGAATTAAACAGCTCGCTAAATATTCTAACAGCTGTACCGACATCCGCCATTTCGGAACTGCACAGCTGTTCCGTGTGTGTTGTTAAAAGATTTCCAGCAACCATTGCAACGCTTTGGCAGTAAAAAGCAGCAGCGGTGATCCTCGGCGCTAAATTTAACAAGTCTACAGTTACGATTTGCACTGTACGATTTTCGATCATTTTTGTCGTTTGATTCTAAAGGATGTTTCGCATAACTTTCGACGGCCACTCGCGGTGCGAAATAAGTAGCCAGTCGTTTTTCCCAGATAGAAACGGCTCTACAAATATAGCTGCAATGCGGTACTCGCTAAGCGTCGAAGACCTCTTTTATTAAATTTCACTAATCTTTCGTCTTTTTATCGCCGGTTGAGCGAAGGGAGGAGGTGGTACTCATTAAAATTCCGATCGTTGTAAAACTCGAGGCATCGGCATACCCCCGCACAAAAGTTACGCATAGCCCCGAGTGCTTCTGTGTATATGCCGGCGTACCAACTCTTTAGAGCTTCAAATTGCGGTTTTCCAGATTTAAGAGATGGCCGGATGGCCGAGCGGTCAAGGTGGCAGCCCCGTGGGATCAAACTCCAACGGGGCGAACGATTCACAGGCTTTTTCCGGGGAGGGATGTGCTAGCCCCGGTTCTGAAAGGAAAGTAAAAGCTAGACAGGTTTTTACAGTCTTTAGAATACCCAAAATCGCAAATTGCGAGATCTGCGTGGTAAGAGAATGCCAATCGACTTAAAGTTGAGTTCATCCGTCATCTATATCTATATCTACATATAAAAATGGACATGTATGTCCCTATATTTCACTTTTCCGCCAAAACTACACATCGCACGTGAATGGTGTTTGTATGTGGTAGTAGCCCCGAGTCTCCATTCGTGCACCAGGGGTTGCGTCTCGATAGCTATAAGGGTGCGGGAGATATGGGGCTGAAAGTGGTTGAAAGTGGCTTTCTATTTCGAATGTTTTGTTTGAATTAAATTCGAACATAAAATTCGAATATTGGTTCGATTATAGAACGATTGTAAACGTTCCAGAAACGTTGAAAATAGTTCGTTTGACTTGACGTGAACAGGAGACGTTCAGAAATAGAATCGGGACCAGATCTGTAATCAGAAACGGGGGACCTAATTCTTGCATTCTGTGAAAACGAGTAAGATTGGCTATAATGTAATTATCTTAATCTTCACTATCGTTACTTTTTGTTCAGAAATAAAAACCCAGCGAAGCGGGTCCTTGCAGCTAGATTCTAGATTACTTAGAAAAACATTCTTTTATATATATAAAAAAACTATATTACATACAAATGTAAGAACAAATAAAAACCCAGCGAAGCGGGTTCTTGCAGCTAGTCTCAAATAAATAGTTGGGGTCATCTCCGTGCAAGAGCAAAATATGTAAAAACCCTTGTTGTTTGCTGTGTTCATAGTAAATTCATGCGAATTGCACACGAATACAAAGTTTACTGTAATGTATAATAAAATTAGTTAGCATTTAACAAATGCAAGCGAAATTTTAAGTTTTATAACGCGAAAAACGTAGCCTAGTTTCAAAAGCGCCGAAGGTTTTTGCGTCTAAATAAAAGATACTTGTCCATTTAAGACAGTATTTTAACTTGTTTCCGAGTTTTGTTACAGGAAAACAATAAATTAGTATTTAAAAATAATTTTTATCAACGGCCCTGACTCTGCTTCACGTTTCCCATTGCATCACAAGAATTTAACATTTCCTTTCCGAGGTTAAAAAAAGGTGTTTACTCGAAATTCTAAAATATTTAATATTTCCGCGACATATCCGAGACAGCGGCCGGATGGCCGAGCGGTCAAGGCGGCAGCCTACCGCTTCGGGGGACCCGGGCTCGAATCCGAACGGATTGAAAAATCCCCAGGAATTTTTCGGGGGTGGTCCGTTCGGATATGTCGGGACCCGTCCCTCACTACCCGGCAGCCCCATTGTGGGCCTGGCCGAACCCATAATGGGCTTGCAAAAAGAGGCCCTCTTACTGCCCACAGGGCGGAAAGAGTTTAAAAAATATGTATATCCGAGACACGTTACACTTTTTGGGCGTTGAGGGTTCGAATATCGCTTCGGGCCGATTAATTTCTTCCAGTTTAATCTAAATTTAAATTTATTTCTAAATTTAATCTAAATTTAAAGTTATTAATTTTATTACGAGATAGCGCCTAACGCTTCCCATTAGTGCCAAATTCATTTGTAACTCATAATTATTATTTCTAAAATATAGCCCGATTATTTACGGAAGTTTGGGTGTGTATTTGCTTATATTTCAACAACCGCTTTATAGAAAATCTTGAAATTTTGCGTATTACCTAAGAAAACGATTTTCTTCCGAACGAGATACTCAGAATTACTTCGGGTGTTTGGGGGGCAAAGAAACCGACTCCCGATAATCTCTGCAACTCTGATTCGTGTATTCAATCGGTGAGTTTTTACTCAGAGGGGAGTCACTGCCGTGACTCATAAGGATAGCGAAAAACTAATCTTTAATTGGGAAAATTCTTAACTTGGAATTCAGAAACTGACACCGAAAAAACTTTGTAATCTCTACTACGTTACCAACTCTCCCCGACTCTCCTAGGGAAACTCCAGGAATTTTTAAATTCGGACTATTCTTTTCGCCTTACTCTTCCCGCTGTCGTAACGTAACGTAATATTATAGTCGTCTGACATTTGACCCTTCGGAATTTTGGAATCTCGGCGTTTTGAAATCCCGGAACCCGTAAAGGTGAAAAAACTGCTACTCGGGATACGCGTGCGTGTCGTAATGTGTTGGCATCTATTTCGTGCGAGATATCGGAAAGGAATGAAGATTTTTTAGATTTTAGAATTTAAAATTAATCATTTAATTTAAGTAAAATTATCATCAAGTAAGTTAATTCCTCATTAATTTAATTTTATAGGTTATTTAAATAAAATAGCTTTTTAAATATTAAGGATTACCCGAAGAACTCGGCTTCTACTGTACTGTTTTAAATACGGTTTCTTATGTTTTTGAGAAAAATCGAACATGTATTTTTAGACCATGTAAAAAGTCTAATTAGTCTGAGAAGAGGGAGGAAGTAATTCTTACACCCGGTGAAAACGGGTAAGATCCGCTACAATCTAGTAATTTTAATCTTTGCTATCGTTACGTTTAGCCCGAGCAACGCCGAGCTCGTCCGCTAGTATTAAATAAAACAAGTTTTACCTGCCGGCCACAGATTCATTAAAGGTAAGAAGAAAAATAGTTGCCTCGGAAATACAATAAAAAATTATGGTAACGTTTCTATCCGAAATACCCGAAGGACTCGTAGTTACTCTATCCTCGCGTTGGAGCCGACGGTGGGAAAATCGTCACCGATATTTTAAATAATAATACACCGACGAAATTTATAGCATCAATACCCTTTATATACAAGGTACCGCGGGAAATTTGTTACGTATAACGTAACAGCCAGAAAAGTAAAACTCGTCCGCACTCTGAAAATTGAGATATTTTTGCTTCTATAATAATAATAATATAAAAGTTATTTTTAATATACCTAGTAACAGATGGCGCCACACACAATTTTAACTCCGCTAACGCGTCTTGGTTTCTCGAGCGTAAATACAAAGAAAAACGCGAGATGTAAAAAATTACGCCAAGTAAAAATTTATGACAATTTAGACCACTATCAATATTTTCCTTAGCAGTTTTCCTTCGGTAAAGATAAGCTCGGCGCTGGCAAGATTTTTACTCGTATTTACCTTACATTTCGCCTTTGAGCGCCCAGCTTATCCTCACCGAAGGAAAACTGTCAAGAAAAATCTTGATGGCGGTCTAACTTGCCATAAACGTTTTACGTATAGTCGGTTCGGTGACTGCCGCCACCGTCTATCTTTGGCTGGAAATGTTACGCAACCGGACGCCGGATTTTTATCGATACGAAGATTGATTGTCGTCTTACGTATTACGTTAAAACACACTAAAGAATAGACGAGGGCGCGGCGTTTCGATATCGCCCGAGTAAAATAACGTCAAATCCACGAAAGTTTCCGCTTTTGGAGGAAATCTCCCAGATAGAAAATAAGGCGAAATCGTCTACGAGCAGACTCTTTCATTAGTCTCTAAGCGTACAAGACCCCGCGTTAATTTTCTTCCACGCATTTTGTCAAAGATTTCTTTCTTATTAATTAACTCGTTTACAGCCTCGAGATATTAATTAAGAAAAGTGTTGGGTTAAAACAGGAGTGTGGGAACCGGCGATTGGCCAACACACTTTCCAATCGGAGTGCGGAGGCGTTGGCCGCTTTCTACCTTTCGCGCGGCCACGCTCTCGGTCGGACGGTGCGTACAGAGAGATTTCCGACGGAAAGCGCCTGGGTCGAAATGCGACCGAGGAAGAAGCGCTTTCGCAATCGAGGTTGCGAAAGCGGCGCGGGTGGTCGAAAGGAGGCTTATCGACCTCATCCGGGGAGGCTTTTTACGTCCGTCCACTCGGCCGCACAACGCCCGCTTTGTATCTGCGGCGGATCGTCTTACCCGGGAGGACGGGTCGTGCGTCAGAGATGCGAAGATCGGACATGAGAAGAGTCGAGTTGACGCTGCTGCTCTTGGGACTGACGCTGACGGCGGCCGGCCGGACCGAGGGCGAGAGGTGCCGGTGCAACCAAACCGTCGCCGCCCTCCACTTGGAGAACAGAGTGTACACGCTGGAAGTGCAGATGAAACACTGTATGCAACGCTTGTCCGAAATGGGGGAATTCGAAAACAAAGCCGAACGGCACGTAGCTCTTCTGAACAAGCGAATGAAAGAGATGCGGTCGGAGAACTTGCCGAAGGCCGATCGACTCGACTCCGACTCCGACTCGCAGTCGGAAGAGAACGTCACTTCTTTGATGAGATTGATCGACGAGGAGAAGGAAGCCGTCAGAGAGTTGAGCCAACAGATCTTCGCCCTCAAAAGTCAGAAAAATCTGCTAATGACGGAGCTGGAGAGCGAGAAGAAACACCGACGCTCGTTGACCGAGCGCTTGGAAAAGATGGACAGTCGACTGAGCGAAACCGGGTCCTGGAGGTCGGTGGTGGAAGACATTCGCCTTCGACTGGACAACCTGAGCCAACCCGCCAACGACTTGACCTCTCGACTGTCGCTTCTACTGGAAGAGAGGGACGGCCTAAGATCGGAAATGGAAAACGGGAAGACCCTTCTAAAGAACCTGGAAACTCACATCCGTTGGTTGGAAAAAGAACTGAACGAAACAAATAATTTGAAAGACAACGTGGACGATCTGCGCGGCGAAATGAACAGTATGCGCTCCAACATAACCGACGAGACGGTCAATTTAATAGAGAAAATAATAGAGATCAAATTGGCCGACGCCGACAAAAAGACGACGAAGGAGAACCTGAAAATGTTGGAATATCAACTGGAAGACGGACGGAGCAACACCACTTCTCTCGTCAACGCTTCCAAAGCGATTTTCGTCGACGGTTCCGACGAAAATCGGTCCGAAAGCCAATTCGATCCGTCCTGGAAAAAAGAAATGGCCGAAATGAGAAAAAGCCTGGACGCCGGGACCAACAGTACCGCTCGACTCTTGTCCGAAATGGCGGCCGACCTGGAAGCTACCAAAGAATACGTGTCGCGGGTCAACTCTACTTACCTGGACGGAATTTCCGCGGCTCTCTCCCGCCTGTCCGAGCTGGAAAAGGACGGGGCGCGATCTTCCGAACGGTGGCACCAATGGAAGAACGATTCGCAGTCCGAAGCGGACGAACTGCGCCGGAAAGTGGAAATTCTAAACGGTCGAGTGGAAGAGTTGGGCCAGGACGTCGACTTCCTTCGGAGTGCGCAAACCAACGCTTCTTGGCAACTGGATTGGTTAAGGGACCGGGAGGAAGACGTTTCGGAAAACAGACGAAGTCTGGACCGACTGAAGGAAGATGTGAAAGAACTGGAGCTAAAGACGAGCAGAGAATGGTCGGAAACCAGAAGGGAATTGGAGGATCTGAATCTCCTGAATCTGAAAATTTTGTACGACGATCAGCAGAACAACATGTCGGAAATGGATCTGAGACTAAATCGGGTGGAGGAGACGTTACCGGAATTGGACGTTTACTACAACAAGTTGCGAAAGATAGAAAGCGCCCTGAGTAAAACGGGCAGCGCCGAAGATGTGGCGCGACACGACGAGAAGATCGTTCGTCTCTTCGTCCAAGTCAGTAAACTGAACGGTCGAACGGAAGACCTGGACCGCAAACTGGACGGATGGGACGCGAAGATAGTCGAAGCCAAAAATTGGGTGGCCAAACACGTAGACAAAGAGTACAAGAATCTGGAAAAGAGAGTCTTTCGCCATCGGGAAGACGTGGCTCGTCATTTCGAACGTTCTCTGGACGAGAAGATAAGAGAGGTCAGATGGGAAGCGGAGAAGACGTCGAGTCTCCACCGAGAGTCGCTCGCCTGTCTGCTAAATCAGTCCGACCCATGCCGTGGAAACCGATGGTACGGTTCCCTTACCAGTAAGTTCGTTTACGTTATTCCGTTAATTAATTTATATTATTTCGTTGGCCCGTTTGTTCCGAGAAGTGCCGGATAAGCGAATACTTTCTAGGAAGGAGCGTTTAATCGGATTAGATTTTGGACTTTTGTAACTTCCCTTCGCGGATTCGAATCTAAGAGTTTTGTTTTTTCCGTATAGGACGTTATCGTTACAAACAGAAATTATACAGACTTGGTCCTTCAAACAGAAGGGTAGTAAAAAGTAGGCTAAGTAGCAACTCGTATCGATTTTTCGCTGGGAACCGAATCGTAAATACCGCGAAATACGGTATAAGTAAATTGCAGTTAGGAATGTTAGACGTATCCCGTGGCGATAAGCCGAAAATAAATAAAGAAATGTATTTTCGACACGGCGCCGCGCGTACCGTGGCGGCGACGGATGCGGAAGTACCCGAAGGGAGCGGGGGTTAACCGAAAAGTAAAAAATATTCGAGTAAGGACCTTTTATTAAGGCCTGGGCCGCGGTGGGGTAAACCGTATTCCCAGTCGGAAGGAATAAATATTATCTTTTCTGCGCGCGTGCACGGAGAGTATTTCATTTACCAGGAAGAAAGCGGACGACGCTCCCGACGTTTTCCTAAGAATCGGAATAATCATTTGTTAATTGGTCGTTAGGGGCGATAAGAGTAGCTTAAAATTTCAAAGTCGGTTGTTAAAATGGAGTAAATAGTTATTTTTTTATTAACGTACGGAAATGAGCGAAAGGAGTCAAATTACGAACTAATGAAGGTGACGTAGCGTCGAAGGTCCGGGAAAAGGACTGTAGGTAGAGGAAGATTGGGAAAGGAGTAACCGGGCGCTTTCGTCCAATAAAGACGGTAATTGTCTAGACAAACCCGCCTTTTCCGTTCTCCGTCGTTAACTTAAAAACCGTTTAACATATAACGTGTAAATTACATCTATTTGTTACGCGCCTTCTCCCGGTTAAAAATCGTTGGCCACGTCGCGTATTATCCATCGAATCTTTTACCGGCATTTACGCCTCCGTTAGAAGAAGAGGAGAGAAGAGGGACGGAACGTGGCCGCGCCAAAACGTAAAGAGTTTTTATATAAGTGTTCTTAACGTTCTCGTAAGAGAAAAGTTAACTCGGATCAATTAATGGATCGATCGTTTGCGCCTAGTTCTTATCTAAATCGGTTGACGCTTCAAACTACGCGCGGTAACCGGAAATCTGATGGAAACGGCCGAGTTCTACCGAGAAAACGTCGGATAATAAAGAAATGGGGTAAAATTCCACCGCCACCTTTATGGCGGAAAGAAATTTTCGTAGTTTTCCACGCTGGGTAATAATCGGAATCTTTCGTCGTTTCGACGGCGAATAAAATCTGGGGAGAGCGCCACCGCGGTTTGCCAGACTCACGCTCGACTTTTGGACTCGAGTCCGTTTTAGTTTAAGAATTCCAGAGTATCGGAGTCTCGCCTCCTACGCGTACAAACGATACGTAGCCACGGTGGGTTTTCCGTTTTCTATTCGAGACGTTTCGGTCTTTTTCGGTCTACGAAGTCCCGACTAATCGCAACCTCCGCTCCGGACCAAGCTAGGGATTTTTACTTAAGGGAATTCTTTAAGGAGAATGTACCGGCTGCCGTTGCCGGCCGGGTACTATTCCTTGGGCCGACCCCGTCGACAATCGGTATTACGGAGTAGAATTCGTCTTTAGGGCAGGGCTACGGAGCCCCGGCCCAGGGCCCCAGGCCTTAGGGGCCCCTAATCCGAAAGTAATAAAGTTACAGGTAAAAAATAGGTTAATTGAAATAAACAAATTATTAAAACTATCAAATACTTTATTTCTCCTATACGAGGTTAAAAATGATCTTAGAATTAAGCAAACTTTGAAAATTTTTCTTCGACATTTTGCTGCTATGAAATTCGTAATTAATTTATCGAAATTTACTTTATTAATTATATCCGATTCTATATTCATAATAGAAAGATTATTTATTTAATTAATCTCGATTGAGACGTCGTATTACGTATCATCATTTTTAAAATAGAAAATGAACGTTCACCAGAACAATTTGTAGCCTAATCGTTAAAGTAAAAATATTCTAAGACCGATCTCTAAACTAGGAAATGTACACGATAGTAAATCCTGCTTCGTTAAAAAATACGTATCTCAGATCGCATATTTTCTTTACCTTTACGTAATATACTATTGTTTCTGTTTCCTTAAGAGGGCCCCATCTTACGTCCTAAAGACGGCGCCGATGCCGACTCGTAAATGGCATTAAAGTACGGAAAAGCACTTCTTTGCCGAGTAGCGAGAGGATGGAAGAAACTCGAAAATAGCGGTTTCAATTATATTTCCTCGGAACCCATCCGATACAAACGAATTGTGATAACTACTAACAACGGGTTTATTTTTAATCTTTAATCTTAAACGGCGCTAAGGCCGTTGGCCTTTTCCAAAATAAACACGTGTATAAAACACAAACATGGGAGAAACGACGACAACGACGAAAAAAACCACAACTCGAAACTAAACGCCATTCAATTTTTCGACAACCCCTTTAGATTACCCGTAAGTTCTCGAATCTTCGTACCGTAATCCTCTTTTAAAGCATTCCGGTTATACTCGTATACGAATTGGTAAATCGGCGAGTTTCGGCCAAAATGGCCCTTAACTTTTGGTAAAATCAAATTATTTTTCCATCGATAATCGTAGTTAGAGGGCCCAAAGTATTTTTTTAGAAAATTACCTAAAAAAGATCCTTTCCCGCGTACCTTTGTTAATTTAAAAGGGTGTAAAATAACTTGTTTGTATGTAAAACTCGTACTTTGTCAATATAGGCCCGGTTCTAATACGAGGTGACGGAAGAATTATAAGGTAACTGGTGTAACGTTCTAATGGAATTATTTTGTACGACCGACAACCTATTCGATACGAAGTAAGAAGCCGTACCCCGTACCGAAATACCGTATCTTAGTTTAGGCGTGGTACAAACGAAGAACGGCCTCAAAGTTTATATATCTCATTATTCTTTTAATTCCGATAAATCTAGATAAAGGCCTTGTTAGACTAAGTAATGGTTCCATCGTAGATTATCGTCTATTTCGTTTTCTAAATATTTCACGGTATTAACTCTTTGAATACGTTTATTATTAATTCTTACTTGTATATCGTGTAAATTGACCTTTTTACTTTTGTTTTATTCTCGTTTATTCTAAACTTATGATTTTCCGTATATTTACTTAATTTAGCCGGCATTAAATTTATATTATTTTCGATTACTCGAGGGTTTCGATCCGCGTAGGCCGTAATAATATCGTCCGCGTACGATATAATATTACTTTCGGGAATAGTTTCTACCATATAATTTATATAAATATTAAATAGTAAAGGACCCAGAATTGATCCCCGCGGGACTTCCTGGCTGGAAAAGATTTACGCGTCAAATTATTTATCTTTACGTAATACGTACGACTCGATAAATAAAATATTAGCCACTATAATGGCACGCCTCTTAATTCGAATTTAAACAATTTTTGTTTTAATACCTCGATGTCTACGCTATCGAAAGCCTTAGTCGGGTGGATAAACACCGCCGTCGCTATATTCGACCATCGAGACCGTCGATAATATATTGTTTACCGGCGGAAACACCGGAAAATACTTTTCGCGCTTATCGCTCGGTCTCTTACCGAGTTTACGTCGCCCTTCCGGGTAACGAAGGATGGGATTACGAAATAGGTCCGGCCACAAATTACGGATCTTCCCCGGTCTTTCGAAATAGTTCTATAATGACCTTTCGGGATCGATATTGTCGTCGACAGACGGGACGAGTTTAAATAACTAATCCAAAACGATTATTCGAGACGACTAGAAATATATTTCGGTTCATTGGCGGTAGAGGCGATAATTTGTGCCGGGGGGAAACGCATTCGATTATTTCGGTCGGACCGCTTCCGTTAATATTCCGTTAATAATGAGAAAAGGCGAGAAACACTTCCGTACAGTTTACTTTCGGCCATGGTTTGGAAAAATCGTCAACGGTAAAGATGGATGGGCGTAAAATAAAAAACTCGACCCGTCTTCTACCAACCGCCAAAGACTTAGTTTTCCGCCGAATGTTTCTAACGTGGCAAAACGTACGCCGGGCGCAGTTTGCGGCCACCAGTTTCGTCCGACGCGGGATGCGGGCCCGTACGGTGGCGCCGCTTCTACGTAACGTAATATTAGGGGTATCGTTTTCTTTAGCTTTTAGAAAAGCCGGTGCTAGGAAAGCTACCGACGTTCCCGGGGAAGAATTTTCCCTCCCGGCCGGTCTTTTTCCCGTCGCTTTACGGGTAATGTCGGCCCTTTTGGAGAATTCTTTCCGCTCTTTTTTAAGGGACGAAAGGACTCCGGCAATGGCAGAGAGTGGCGACTAACGAAAATCGGCAAAGCCACGGATGGCCCTTCTCGAGTAAATTACTCGAGAAGGGCCATCCGCCCGAGTCTCGGCGTTACCGTAATGACCGTATTCGTCTTCCGGGAGGAAAACGGAAAGAACTTAGCGGGTTGTTAACGGTAAGAATTAGGTTTAGAGATTAGCGCGGCCACGCTCCGACTACAAACCCCGCCTCGGCGATATTAACGGAAGCGGTCCGACCGAGATAACGTAGATAAGATGACGTAGGCGAGAACGATTTATAAAATTTATATAAAAGAAACTTGCCGACCTTCCGTTGAAGTATTTACGAGAACGGCCTAAAGGCGGGAAACGACACTCCGAACTGTCGCTTTTATTTAATAGAAAGAAGGAAAAAAAGCCGAGAGAAATCATAAACTCGGCCAGTAGACAGAATTTACATTAGCTCAGATTATACCGTTAAAATAATTAGATTTTATAAAAGGTCTGGGTTATGCGGGAAAAGGCGATTCTGCCATCGGTCGACGTTCTTTCTCGCCACCCGTAGAAACGGTATTCGTAAACACTCGGCCGAAGTGGCCGAGTGTTTACCAATACCTTAAGTGTTTAAGTAATTTACGATAAAAAAACATTTAAAGGGGACGGATAACTTTGGCCAGTTTGGTAGATACGGCTTTCCCCATCATTTTAGGCGCCCTTTATTCATTATTTTCACTTTTCCGGGCCCGCCGCCGTAACCCGCTGGGTAAACTGCGACGTAAATACGTTTACGCGGGAGGAGGAAAAAAAGATCGAGGTAGTCGGTAACCCCACCGGCCTTATTAACCGCGTAGGCCGGTAGAAATCCCAGAATCGACCGTTTACCGCCCCCGGGTGTTCTTCCGATACGTCACACGGGTCGACGAATACTACGAATACTACCAATCCGAGGACGGTTTCCGGCGGTTTCTTTCCGCCAGAATTGGCTCCGAGTACGGGAAGGTGAACCAACGGCCGGGATTCGGCGCTTCTTTTCCCGAGTAAAAGTCGTAGGCGGCGACACTCCGTCTTTTCGACGAGCTTGGCGCTGGGCAAAAAACGGAAAGAGAAGAGGACCGCGCACCCGTTTCGCGCGAATTGTCGGAAGATGGAATTAGTCGATAAGCGTAAAAGGCGAAAAGATCGATTCCGATGGACGAACTTCGATCCCGTCTTTCGTTACCCGATAAGCGGACGACCGAACCGCACAAAGACGTCTTTTGTCCCCTCCGCCGTCCCTACCCTACTTTCCGCTCCCGCCTCGGAGCGTACGTTACGGGGAAGGAGATACGACGCGCGTAACCGGCGCGGCCACGCCGCACAGTGGGTCGTCAGACGATTCTAGGAGGACAAAAGTCAAAAAATGCGTAGCTGATAATGACCCTTACATATTTACGTATTAATAAAAAACATTCCAGTGAGTCAATTGCTATCGATAATTTTTAAAATACGCCCCGTGGCTTTGCTAAGCAACAAATGAAAAGCATCAGTTTTATATCTGGTTGGAATCATAACGTTAGTGTCGTGTTCGGACTTATTTCGAATAGTTGTTTGGCTGGCTGTTTTAAGTGTTTTTATCCATAATTAAGACGAATAGTAATGGCCAAAGTATGTATTTTAATATGTATATTTCATTAATAATAGGCAATGAGGAGATTTTATATAAAACAATGGCGAACCCAAGGGATTTTTACACTTTATTTTAAATAAGTAGAACTTTAAAACTTCTGCATCTTTTTTTCGTATGTCTTTGTACGTTTTAATTTCATTTTTTCCGGATTTTCGAAAGTTTTATAATTATGTCTAACGGATATTTGTGCGCGGAAAGGCGCGGATTTTGACGTATAACCATTTTTTCTTTCACAGGGCGATGGCTGGTAGTCAGCGGGAGTGAACTTTTTGATAAACTAAGAGAAAAAGATAAAATGATAAAAGGTCATTCGAAGTAAAAAATATTAAAGTAGACTACATTAAAAAAAAGTTTAATTTAACAAATCCCAGTCGAGATAGTGGAAAATGAGTTACGTCGAATTACTTCTTCTTTTTCCGTTGGTCTAATTTGTAAGTCAAAGATGAAAGAAACGTAATCGAAATATCAAACATTTTTCAACCAAAAATCATTTATGGATCAATGATTAGATAAATATCGAAAATGTCGATTTGCCACAAATTCGTGCAAGCTATAAAACACCACAAAAACAAATAATGGGACGTCCCATCCAGCCAAACTAACGATCTACGTAACATTAATGGCCAAGCGGTCTTCGTATCCCGAACACTGGGAGTTCAGGATACGAAGATCGTGGGTTCGTGCCTCGCTCGTGGATCGCTGGCCACGTGGAGTTTTCAGGGTTTTCTGCACGTCCGTAACGCCTAAATAGGGGCCGGTTCTCCTTAAAAAGACCTCCCGGAAGGCATCCCCCTAGGCAGATCGCCCGAGTGTTGCGTTGCCGTGACTTAAAACAAACAAACAAAGGTAACATTAAATGAGGCAATGTAATGAAAAAAGTTTTTCATTTGGTCTATCAACATCGAATGGATATTATCGTATTTTAATATCGTATCGAATGGATATTAAAAAAGTGCCAAGTGCGCGAGAAGGAAGAAAAAGAGTCAGTATCAACAAAAAAAGAAAAAATATTATTGATAGATTTAGAGCCGAAACTGGTTTACTTCCGAATCTTCCCAAGCAAGGTGGTAGAAACACCGACGACGGTAATTCGGCAAGATTTTTTTCGAATGCCGCTCTTATTGCAGAGATAACCGGTGTTAACGAGAACCTGATAAAACCATCTTCGGTTATATTACAAGCGCTGGCATCCGGCTACAAAATCGATACAATCAAATTCGAAATCTACACCAAGGAAACAGCGGAGTATACGTGACGCTTTATCATCGGTATCCCGTGCCAGTCACTCTTCACAAAGTTTTAATAGGCGGATCAAAAATTCGTTTCTCGTTTCAATAGGACAATTGTCCGAAGAAGTGCGAGAAGCTAGACGCAAGGAATTTTAAAAATTTCGTCAGAGTTATTCCCGAAAAACTTCTAGAATAAACACTAATATTTTACATAATCTTTTAATTTCTTCAGATCCTCTCATTACAAGCCTTAGATCACATGGTATAAAGAAAACACTCCGATAACCGCTAACGTTTTAAAATTATTAAAGCACCGAGCGTGACCTTAGTACAAGAGAAATCCGAATGTGACTTTGATATGTAAATTTTTAATTGATACGATATCTAAGTAAAAATTTTTATTATAAAAATGAATTGCACCAGCCTATATACTTAAGTCCCGCTAGAATCGTTTCACCACCCACTGTGCGCCGTATCTCCGATTATTTACGCGGAGAAAGTTAATAATCGTCGTAATATTAAATTTCTGTCGGCGGGTTTTAATTTCGGTTACTCGTACCGTACCCTTACAGGATATTTATAACTGTTTCTGTGGGCTTTTCTCGCCAGTCCCTTTAGTAACGGAAAACGTCTTACGTAAATCCGGTCGGGCGTGGCTACCCGCGCCTCCCTTAATATTCCGTATTGTACATTTATGCCGCCTATTTGGACACGAAATATTGATCCGTGGGAAGAAAGTATTTAACGTTCGTATCGCTACTCGAGCAATTCGTATTATTAATTGCCTTTGTATCTCTGCAGAAAAAAGAAGACCAAGTTCGAATGCGTTACTCCTTTATGCCTTGGATGAAATATTGGAGGATTCGCTTTCGACGTCCCTAAAAGCGTAGACGTTATTTCCGTTACGGAATCCGACCGTATATCCCCGTCCGGAGGTGTCGACGGGGTTAAACGGGTCGTAACCGGAGTCTCGGTATCTCGATTTCCGCTAAATATAGGAATCGGTTCGGAGTTTTCCTCGAAGCCGCGCGCGCGGTGACGCAACGTCTCCTATCGAATTTCCTTCGTCTCTCTCTTCTCCGAATTAGCGATTTCGTGCCGGCCGACCAGCGGGGGAGGGACGACGACGTTGGGCAGAAAAAGCCACTTTTCGTGGTAGGCGCGGCCGGGGATGGGAAATTCTCCGGGAGACGGGAAGGCGACGCGGGCGATAATCGATTATTTTTCCTTTTTCAGACGAGCCGGAGGGGGAAGACTTTTGCCACGTGGTTCCCAGTTGGGACCCGGAACTGGTGGTGTCCTATCGGTCCAGACCCCTGACGCCTCGGACCCGAAGAATCGGGCGAGGAGAGGAGTTGGTGTTCAGATGTTCCCACGTCGGAAGGTACGTTTTGTCCGGTCCGGGAAGAATCGTCTGCCTGGGCGGGGATTGGTCCGCCCGATCTCCCTCCTGTCGGAAGTTGGCCGACGAAGAAGACGTGGAAAGTGAGTGGAGCGACGGAAAATCGGGTCTCTTTTTCTCTTTCTAAGACGAATTCGTACTTCCAGACGTGGGGAACGTCGAGGCCTTTTGTCGGTCCTCCGGGACGGGTCGTCACTCTCACCCCTTCGATTGCCAGCAATATTTTAACTGCACGGAGAAGACTTTCCGAATTTACTCTTGCCCTCCGGATCTTCGCTTCGACGACGAGTCCGGCAATTGCGTCCCAAGCCAATTTTCCAACTGTAAGTAATTACTTCGTTAACCGCGGAAACGCGCTTCTAGGATTAAAAAGTGCCCACCGGCGTTACGTCGAATTACGTTTCAGGTACGGACCGTCCCGCCGTCGACTACTACCCCCTACCCGGCACCTCGGACCTTCCCGTGGGACTGACCGCGGACGGAACTCTGGTGGTCTTTCCGGGTCAGAACTTGCAGTTGACCTGCATCCGTCCGGCCAACCTGGGAGCGGTGGAGTGGAGGATCCGCACCGGAAACATAACCAAGACTCGCTATTCCGACTCCTTCGGACAGGGAAGTCGACGACTGCAGCTGAAGGGGGTGGATCAATCCGCCAGCGGAACCTATTCTTGCGCGGAAAGCGGAGACTCCAACAACGACGGAGGAATTCGTATTCTGGTCCAGGGTAAGCGCGGAAAATTATTCCTTTCTTCTTCCCGTTGGCTTCCTTAAACTCGGTGGTTTTCGCAGCCGTTTTCTGTCCGGAGATGGAGGTGGAAAGTCCTCTGACCGCCCGAAACTCCGCCTCTCGAAGACTGGCTTCCAAAATCTCTTTTTCCTGTCCGGAGAGCTACGCCTTGACGGGAGCCGAATTCGTCGTGTGTCTGGCGGACGGGGTGTGGTCGGACCAAGCGCCCACCTGCCGACCCAAAGGTAAGTGTTCTTGGGCGCCGGCCGCCGTCTATCCGCGGATAATCGGACCGTCTATTTTAAGGATGTCTTCGACCGAACACCACCGACGACCCGTGGATCAAGTTGATTCCGGACCTGCCGTTCTACCGGATCGACACCAAACTGACCCTGTCCTGCGGAAGGAACGCTCCCGCCACAGACGTTCCCTCCGTCGTCCGGTGTCTGCCCGACAAGACGTGGAGCATTCTGCCTTTTCCCTCCTGCGGTTGAGCTTATTATTTATATTTGTGTATCGTGCACGCGCCTTCGTTCGGCATCCGTCTTTTGTATATTTTAACGGTGCAATAAAAGTACTCGATGGAGTTGCGGTCTGTACGACGTCGTCTCCGTCGGCCGATAACCGAAAACCCTTTCCGTCGTTATTCCGCCGCGCCAGAAATCGACGGAGAAATTTCTCGGTATTTTAAGTGGTCGGGGGCAAAATCGATTACGTTGGCGCGGTTCCGGTCAAGAAAGAACAAAATAGTTCCTATGGTATTACGTCTAAATGCGTGTGGGAAAATACTCGAAGAAAAACGACAGTGGCGAGATAAGAAGTCGCCAGTTCTAATAAATTTAATTCAAAGCTGGTCTTCGTATTTAAACAAATAAAATAAAAGGGAGAAAAAGTGCGGCCGGTGAAGGAGCGAGAGAATGCCGAAGCCGTCGTCGGATTAGACGTAGGCGATAATGGCGCGCGCTGGAAATTCTATCCGATATTCGACCAACTATTGGCGAATTGTTTAAAACAGAAGAACGAGAAAGGAAACGTACGCTTTTAAATGAATATAACTGGCTATTGGCCAAAGCGGCCGCACGAAACGAGTTTCTCTACCATTTCTTAAACCCCCTTCTAATCCCACCAGAGTGCCGTACTGGGTGGCGAATTTTTGTAGCGCCGGACCGGCAAATTCCTATTTCTTTCTACCGTCGGCGAGTGCAAATACCGCCAAAGACCTTCGTGATTAGAACTGCCCGTCCAGTCTTCTTTTTTACTAAAATCTCCATTTTTTCTCCCGTTTTTTTCACTTCCAATTTTATCATTAAAGTACGGGACAGAAAGAACGGAATAAAACTATATTTAAAGTCGTTTTTTTATTTAAATATTATAATCGTAAGTTGGCGCGCGTAATTGTCTATTTATATTCGGTAACAGAGTTAGAATTTTAAAAAAATAAAGACGGACTTTCTCGATTTCTCTTAAAATTTCGTTTTTCTCGCGTAATTCAAATATTCGCACAAAAAGGAGAAATTCTCCGAGTCGGAAACGACGGGCGCTCCGGAAAATCCTAGGCAAAGAACGGCCGGGGTGTCGTTCCGTTAAATCGTCGGAAGTTTACACCCGAGCTATGGATATTACGATACCGCGCAATCGCTCTCGGCCCGGCCACACGTGACCGTCGATCGTTTATAAAAAGAGAGGGGCGAAAGGCGGAAGGATAACGTCGTACGAAAGGTGATTGTCACTTTCGGATCTGCGTGAAACGAGGAAAACCAACCGTAAGAGACGTACGAAAGTCGAAATTAATTAATCCTTTTAAGTTCAATTTTAGTGCCCAGGCGATACCGAACCGAACGACTGTCGTTGCGGAAAGGTTTCGGCTACTTAACGTCGATCGACGTTTCTGACTAACGCGCGGCCTACAGCCATATTAGAGAGGTTGCGGCCGACGTTTTCGACGCCAAAACGTGTACGTCGGACGTTCGGCGCCACCTTCCCGTAAGCCAAGACGTTTGACAATGGCGTTTGGAACGTCAGTGGAATCATGTTCGACGTTCCAAACGCCATTGTCAAACGTCTTGGCTTACGGGAAGGTGGCGCCGAACGTCCGACGTACACGTTTTGGCGTTGAAAACGTCGGCCGCAACCTCTCTATTGACTACACTTTTACCGTTCTCGTCGGCTTTGTACGCAGTCGTTGGCCTGGAAGCCAATACGCAAATTCGTAAGCTACTTGTATTGGAATTCCACCAATCGGCAATGAGGGTCGTTTCTTCTTTGGATCACGCGGTATTAGCACCTCGAGTGGAGTTTTGTTCGTTATTTTTATAAATAATTTTTTTAAATGAACGTGGAGAATAAAAATCTGTTGTAAAACTTTTGCAACGCAATAAAAATAATGGTTGATTTCGCCAGTACTTTTTACAGGTAAGCTGTTCATATATATGTATATTTCTTAATTATAAAGTTATAAAGACATTATTATATTTGCTAAAAATGATAAAAAAAATATAATTCTAAAACGAAAGTTATAATCTTGCCCATGTTTCGATAAAATAGGAAAATTGGATTCGAGTTACGCCATAAGAGATAAACAATAACCATGGCACGAATTGTGTGTTCTTTGTTAAACAGTGAGAAGTTGGATCTACAAAAAGTGTAGGGAAATGAAGAAAAGTAAGTTGTTTTAAAAATTAATAATTTAGTGCGCGTATCTGTATGTATAAATGAGGATGTTTGTTTGTTTGTTCGCTATACACTCTTAGGCCGTTCGACCAATTGTTACGAGACTCGGCAGTTTACGTACTTCTAATTTACATAGCGTCGTACCTCCCACCCCAAAAATCGATTGGATTTCTATAAATCAATTAATTTCTATCTACATTCCATTTCCCGATTTACACGTAGCGCCATCTATTGACAAAAATTTAACTAAGTAAATTAAATATAATTTTTACGAAGAAGGATATAATTTTAAAAAATATATATATTATATTCACTTAATTATTGCGACAATTATTATAGCGGTGTAATTTGCGTTACAGGTAGCATATAGCGCTTGCCTGCGTGCAATCGAAAGTGTTACCCTGTGAAAAGTCTATAGTTAGTACAGTACATAAGTATTTAACTTTCCACGTCATACAACTCGGGGTTTTTTCATTTCCGAACGGTACTTTTTTAATTCGAATAAGCGCCCTCCGGTAGCCGAGTGCGTAAAACACCGAACACCGGTAGTCAGTTAGTCGTGGGTTCGGGTACGGTCGACGGGCCGACCACGTGGAGTTTTCCGAGTTTTCTTCGCATTAGTAACACCTAAATAGGATCCAGCTTTCCATAAAAGTCTTCCCGGGCTTTTGTGGGAAGCTGGTAGATGCCACAGATCCCGGCAGATGGAGTTGTGGTAATCAAATATACCAAACTAATTCTAACGAGCGATTATTTATTGAGACAGCGTCGCAATACCGGGTTGCAATTTTTCGTCACGATGTTCTCAATTCTTTTAGTGGCGATCTAATCCCTGTACAGTACATCATGCTTCTCCTGTTAGCAATAGAGTCGTGTCTATCTAATCTAACTCCTGTCAGGGGAAAATTTTGAATCCAAGAAACGTAACTTGCCGTTTAAAATCGGAAGTTCGTATATAGTTAATCTTTGAGAAACGCTGGCTTAGGGGCATTCCTGCCCCTAAGCCAGCGTTTCTCAAAGTGGGTAATAACGTCCCCTCGTGGGCGATGAGTAAATTAAGGGGGCGCTGGAGGCAGGGTATTGAACGGTGACCAAAGGTAAAATTGGGGTCACTGAAAGCCATTCCCTTTCCTCTGTTAAACTGATAAAAAACTGATGTCGAGAACAATGTACTGTACGGTAAGGGCACAAAGTGTGAGATTCATAGAAAAGTTTTCCTATGAATATTTCCAATCCTTTCTCACGCAAGAGAAAATAGGTTAGGGGCGTTGGGTATAACTTTATAGAACAAAGGAGGCGATGGATCGAAAAAGTTTGGGATCACTGCCCTAAGCTCTCCACATCTGATCTCGACTTTTATTTATCTAACTTCTTTCTTGTGATTAAGGAAGAACAGACAAATGTACGACAGTGGGAATTTATAAGTCTACGATTTTGTCAAATTGCAGTCCAGTAATTTTTCTATAAATGCGATATTTACGAGAACTTTTTACGAAGTTTATACAACCTGTTGCATAAATATAAACACTAAATAGAAAGGTTATCTTATGTAAGGGTTTATCACACCGAGTGATCAATCTAACACATTTTAAAAATTCTTTATTCTTCTACTGTACTGTACACAATGTAAAGAATTTTTAAATTGTGTTAGATTGATCACTCGGTGTGATAAACCTTTGTAAATACAAATCAAATACTATCATATAATATAATATAATAGAAAGGTTAGAAGTACGAAATAATCTAATAATCGTAATCTTTGATGATGTGATTTTTGCCCGAGCAATGCCCGGCTCGTCCGCTAGTCTATATATAAAACTAATATTTTAACACCTAACTCTTAGACTCGGAATGATTTGAAATCATCTGTAATAATAAAGGTTGCAAAAATGGAAAACCATTCCAAGAAGACAGGTGGTGGTCTACCAACAAAAGAAGCTTTGACAACGTTAGAGGAAAAATTAGTCTCTCTTTTTGGAGCTGCGCCGATAGATGGTATCGAAGACACCCGAAAGTGATGCGGATTTTGTAGTAAGTAATAGTACTGTACATTAACAAAAAGTTATACATAGTATAGTTCAGTTAAGCTGTACTATGTACAGTACTGTACAGTACAGTACAGTGCCTGCAAGGACATAAAATTTTATTACACTTTTGAATGCAGGAAGCTAACAATTGTTTAACACCTGTGAATGTGATTGAATGTGAATACAGTAGAGTCTCGATTATCCGACCCCCGATTAACCGACACCTCGGTTAACCGACCGCCGTAGTCGGCAAATTTCAAATGACCGCTAGTGATGTGGCGCTACAATATTTGGCTATGTCTCGGCTACTTTAATATTATTTTTACGTGTTTTAGCTGGCAACACTCATTCGACCATGAAAGGGAGNTCGGAGGTTTCGTCTAGCCGCGGCGGGTCCCCGGCCAATTCGGACCCGCCGTTCTATTTCCTATAATAAAATATTTATCACCCGTCTTCCTTCGCCCCTTTTCGAAACCTTAAAAGCTCTCCCGGGAAACGGCCACCGCCCGACCGGAGGGAGTAAAACAACGCCGTCGACCGGGCGAGAAAATCGGAGGCGAACGATGGAGAAAATAGAAATTGTTTCGTTTCTTGGCCAAAGTGACCGTTCCTCTGTATCCACCCGGTAAATTGAAATAATATTTTTGAAGAAGCCAGTTAAACCGGTTGAAAGGACGATTTTGTAATTAGTCAACCTACTTTTACCTATTACATACTTTGTTTATTTTTACCAGTAAATAGAAAAGTCTGGAATGACGCTCGATATCCAACCCCCGAATTAACGAAGACGAGAAATATGTAAAATAAAAAATACTTTGAAAGCAAAAAGTATAAGGTTGTCCAAAAGTATTTCTTTAGCCGCTTCCGACATACAATAATTAATCGGACTACGCTACGCAGTTGCCGAACGTTTACTAAGTTGCGAATAACTCTTATCTGCTGGTTCGTCAGTCTTAACCGTATTTATATATTTTTTACATAATTTTTTAAGCTTCCGTCGTCCGGTCGTCGCCTACCGCGTAACACGGGGCGGGACCGATTGCGGCGCGAATCCGTCGTCGGAAAGTCCGGAGCTAATTTACGGGGGCTCCTCTTCCGCGCCTCCGCCCATCGACACCTTTTCCGTCTTTCGGCGGTCGCTCGTTGGGTCGAAACGCCGGTCCTTAGTCGGACTGGGGGTGGACCGGCTCTCGCAGTGCCGGCCCGAGGCAAGTTTTAGGATGGAGCGAAAACCTATTATGGCGCCTCTTCTTCTTCTTTCTTTGTTTTCTTCTTGCAGGTGTTAATATGGAGAGTATAGCTCAAATAGGCTCTTTCTCCGATAGACTTGTGTATGATCGCTATGCGACCGATGAGCCAGCCGTACCCGAACGGCCTAATCGCGCGCGCGGGAAATAATGCCTTCCGGGAGGACTTTTATGGGAAACTGGCCTCCTATTCGGTCGTTATTGGCAAGGAGAAAACCCGGAAAACTCCAAGCAGCCAGTCTGTCCGACCGTAGCGCGAACCCACGACGAACCTCCCAGTCTTTAGGGTCTGGTCACCACTACGATGAGCGGCAACGGAGACCACGCGCCCACTGGTGGGGGCCCCTCTCTTCGTTGCCCCTAATTTATACCCTTTATTTCAAAATATTTTATTTTCAAAAAAGACACTGTGGCCAGGTTGGCCTTTTACAAGCATCTTAACAGTTAATCAAAACAAACAAACAAACAAACAAAAATCAGGACGCGAGCTGAAAAAGAAAAATTAATTAACAACTGAACTTTAATTTACTTTATCACTGAAGCGCCCCCTAGGACTTAGCGCCTGGAGCGGCTGCTCCGTTTGCCCTATGGTAGGGCCGGCTCTAGGCTCTCGTATAGGAGAAATTGCCCGCTTAACACGCCGAATCCGTAACGAAAATTTAGCATCTTCTCGGATCGGAAAGGTAGAGAAGCCGCCGCTCTACTACTAGCGACGCCGGTCGATTGCACTTATTTCGTCACAAGGTATATATTTTTATCGCTCGGACGGCGTGGGTCTAGGACTTTGACTTCCTCGGCCCGAAAGCCGGTGGGGAAGATTCCTAGGACGGTAGCGGCCTTCCGGGCCCCGCCGAGCCCGGTCGTACCTCTCCTTCGGAAGTTGGTTTCTCTTTATCTTTTCTCGCTTTTCGCGGTCGACCTTGGCCCGCTTCTCTCACTCCGCCGCCTTCTATTTTTAGAAAATTCCGGTTTACTGTTTTCGCCCGTAATGTCTTTGTCTGCCGCCGTTTTTATTCTTTCTTTTCCTCCCCTCCGTCCTTCTTCCCTTCTCACCCCTCCCGTCACTCGGGTTTGAATCCACTCTACGCGCTCGGCACTCGGTCTTGGATTTTATCGAGGGAGCGCGCGGCGGAAGGGTCCGCTCTCGGTCTTTTCTTTTCTCTGCAGAAAAGAGAAACACCGTATCGGCGGAGGAAAACTCTCCGCCGACTGCCCCGTTTCGTCTACCCGGCGCGGAAAGAACGAAGGCGCAAATAAACACCTAAGAAACAATTAGAACGTCGAGGAAGACGGTAACCGGCAAGTTTCGGGCCGGGAACCGTCGGTAGAGGTGTGGAGAAATACCTACGGTTTCTCTGGCGCGCCGTGACCCCTAGACCCTTCGGACGGGCTGGTGGGGATCCCGGTCCGGAGGAACCGAAATCGGCCAACGAATACGGCGATTTATAAATAATTATTCGATTTTAAAATTACTACTCTCTCTTTCTTTTTCCGTATATTTTCCAATCTACCTCTTCCGCCGTCGCTTCCTTATTAATTAAACGGCAACGGGAGACGAATTTTGTATTCGGTGGAGGGGGAGAGGCCGCCGCTCCCACCGCTCTTCCCGTTAACTAGCGTCCGTCTTATATATATTTTTTCTTTTTTTATAAAGAAAAGACACCGTAGCCGAGTGGCCTTTTTCCAGTGTCTACAAACAAAATAGGAAACCGGNGATAATCGAGGCTCTACTGTATATTGATAATTCACATTCAATTTCACTCGATAATAATGAATTGGATCCACAAATCTACAGTCTATAGACGTAACAGATAAATCTTTTAATGGCAAATATTACAAGACTGAAAAATTACAAAATTTTTTTTTCTATTAGAATATGGTATACTGTATTTTCACCTTTTATATTTGCAGAACACCAAGAAAAAAGAGAAAATTCAATTTAATTAATGATGTATCAATGGAGTATGGTAATGAACAAAAGCAGAGTACAGAAGCATTAAGTCATATTGGGGATATTCTAAGTAAAAAAAATTAGCTAGGAGAAAGAAATATTAAAGCCGAAGAAAGAAAAGCTGCCGCAGAGGAAACATTAACAGAATTTATATCTGTATATTTAAATAATAATAAACATTATAAATAACGTGTAATTTTATTGTAAATGAAGTTATAGAGCCCCGGTTTCGTCTCCTATCTGCTAAAATAAAAGTTGTCGAGCTACGTTATTATTATTTACATTAAATGGATTTTTATTTCCTCTTCAATTTGTTGCATTTCATCAGGAATGCTGATATTATTTTTTATACAAATATTATGCAATACGGATCGCGCATTTCTAATTTTAGCCGCCACGGTGAAAGAATAACGTAATACTGTACTCTATCTTTTAAAAGGCGTCTAAAACGCTGTGTGAGGACACCAATGTACGTTTCTGTACAGAGCAACGAGTCTTTCTGTGACATCTATTATATGTCCTGTACAGTACTGTAAATTCAGCCGCGCTCCGTGGGTTAGAAACTAGAGTTAGAAACCACGGTTCAAACTCTACAGTAGATAACCACTATCAGCCGTAAAATTTAATTATAAACTATCCCATATAGGCCTATTCATTATCCTTTTACAAACAATAAAAATGTTTTTGAAATATTTCCATTTGCAATTTCAATAAATACCTAGAAGCCAGGCATTTCCTCTGTCATTTTCAAAGTCAGCTTTAAAAGTCAATTTAAAAAAGAATTTCTCCAAACAAAGGAGTTGCTCCCGGATATCCGGCATTAACATTTAATATAATTAATTCAGAATCACAAACCTGTAAGCAAAAATACCCGATTAAAAATTTACATATATTTATTTAAGAAACTAATTAAAGAGAAAAATTTAAAAATGATTACCAATTGAACGTTAACGCAATGGTAACTTTTTCCGTCCACATATAGTTCTCGGCGATCTAACGGAGTCGCGATGGCAATGGTTCCAATCGCTCCCGGAAAGCCAGCTATGGCCATAAATTTTTGTTTAATAACCGCCCGCCCTTCGTCGCTTCTTGGAAATTTAACGCGTTTCTTCGTAATATTATTAAGAGCGGAACGTACCGAATTCAAAACTTCACTCCCAAACGTTGGCCGACAGCTAACGTTAAATCTCGAGCAATAGCCGTTTAATAAGAACCCGTCGCAAAATAACCTAACGCGATCGAGACCTAAAAACACGTATTTAAAAAACAGTATTTTAAATATTTATCATAATTCACTTTTTATACGTTATTTTAAGCTTTAATTTTAAATAAATTAGAATAGGCTTTTGCATTTATTCAAAAATTCCATATATAGTTTTTGAACAGCATTTAACAACCGAAGGCACTCGTATACAGTATATGACTACATTTGTGTACCGTGTCCAGTTGTTGGGTTCATTGGCGCACGATTGCCATCGAACAGTATATTTTAAGGGATTGGTACGAAAATGAATCAACGTGGGAAAGCTTTCAAAATTCGTAAAACTTCAAAAAGTTTTATACAATTTTTCCAATCACTTTAATTAATAATTAAAATTATACGTCGAAATAAATAAATCGTCCGGTAATTCGAAAGCATTTTCTCTATCACCGAACCGTCTCTCCGTCGACGAAGAGACGGCTTTTCTAATACTAAAAAAAAGGGCGGAAGCCAACGGTCGGCCGTATTTACGCGTATGCGCGACTGTCGTCCAGATTAGCCATCTCCAAACTTCTTCCATCGCGTATCTCTAAAACGAAAATAATTATAAGTTGTACCCCCTATAATATAATATAATATATGTATGTATGTATGTGCGTGTAGCCAAAAGTTAAATTATTTATTATTTATTTTAAACAATACACATACGTTTAAATTAGATTACAAATTTAATTGGCGTACTTCCAAGTATTACTTGGCGTATCTCCGGGGTACGCGTACTCCACTTGGGAGACCACCGGTCTAGACTCGAAGGTGGCCGGCACCGACCTTTCGGTAAACCAGAGCGGTGGAAGATAGGGTGGTAGGTAACAAGAACGCCGGCGAGTTGGGTACGGCATCTTCCGCCCACGATAGGTCGGTTAAGCGACGTCACAACCTACCGGTTTGGCTGGGCCACACTAATCGGTATCGCCCCCTAGAAGAGGATTCGAGCCGAGAAGACGATAATTTTTCGCTTTTCTATTGACGAAAGACGGAAGTCACGTTGGGTTTTGGGGTTTGACCGGCCCCGGGTAGGAAAACGCTAAAAAAGCGCCTTCCTACAATCGGCGCCGAGACCTTCTTTCTCCGCCAGACTCCGTTGCGCAGACTTTTCGCACCGCGGCCTTTGTTTAAAAAATATATTTTTGTTTTCTTAGCGCAACGGATCCGGCGGTACGAAATTCTGTTTTCCGGAAACCGGCCGATGTTTACGACTTATTGCCGCGGTTGGTTGGGAAAAAAGAAAAAAGTCAAGTACGAAACGAAGCAGCCGTTAGCGGAAAGAAAAAACAGTTTTTCCACTCGAAGGGATTACGATGAAGAAAACAATTTACAAAAGCAAAAATGCAAATACTGTAATTAAGAAAAGACAATGGTTAACTTTCCGTCGGCGTATTTTATCTACGGCGCGTTACGGATATCTTCCGTCTACGTACGGATACGCGTAATTTCCAGATCTAGAGCGGTGGGTAATTATCTACGTAAAGTTTTATTCCTGTTTTTATAAATCGGATGGTTTCTAAGACGACGGAAATATAATCCGCTTCCTAAAAAGAAATTAATTAAGGAACTGATTATTTAATTTATTAAATAACGGAATGCGAAAAGTCTGTCTTTTACTAAAAATCTCTACTTTAAACGTCCGCTTCCCGTTTCGGCGCAGAATATTTAGAACGGCCGGGGTTTTTACGCCGCGGCCTAATTCCGTAGATTAAAGAGCTTTTAAATCCGGAGCCACCGGCCCTCGGCGTATTTAACTAATGCCTCTCGCGCCTCGGCCCCAATTTTCATTTTAGTTCTTTCGCTACCATCCGGGCAAAAATGCAAAAGTCGAATGCGCGCTTATATCTATCGGGGAGAAGAGGAGTTTAAAGAGTCGCTTACCACTAAAATTTACCGTTCGTACGACCGCTTAACGGCAGCGAAGAATACGTTTAATTCGATCGTAACGATTTTATTGGGCTGGATCCACGGGCTACCCGTCACCTACCGAAAGCGCTTTAATTTCGTTAGACGCGAGAAGACGGCCACTGGTCGGACGAAAGGCGGGGACAGTTTTTTTGGACAAAAGTCGCCTCTCGTATGCCGCAAAATAGGTAAGAACTCCCGCCCATCTTTTACAAATCCTGTTACTTTCCGCATCGGATAAACCGTTAACTTCCCTTCCTGTAGTTGCGAATTTGTCCGGACTCGGTGGCCCCGGTCGAGAAAACTTCTCGCTCCGGTGGAAGAGGCCATTTCCTACGCGTCCTTCTCCGTCCGCCGGAGCTTTATCCTCCCCACCCGCGCTCTTTTTTCGCGGCGTTAAATATAAATAAACGTCGTTTTCGGATTTCCACCCGCTACAACTTTTCGTTTACCGCCGACGTCGTTCTCCGTTATTCTTCGGACCCTCCCGTCGTTCCTTTCTCGGCCGCGGCGGCGCCTGGTCGGCCCCCGGAGTGACCCCGTGGCCCGCACCCTCGGCCCGAGGTAAGGAAGGTAAAGTCACGACTCGGCCCTTTAACCGCGTTGCTTGTAATGGCTTAACGTTATTAAGTCGCCTCGGGTCGCCACCCGCCGGACGGTTAAACGGATAAGCCGCCGTCTCTGCCGGCACTGGCGCGTTAGGAGGGAAGAGCGTCGACGTTTGCGCGCGTCTTTGGCAATTATACACCGGTATTTTGTAAATATTTTTCTTTATATTTCTGTATAGATTTATTTGTCTTGGCGGTACGCGTAGAAATACAGAAGGACGAAATGCAAATTCCACATGGCAATGTAAACCCGTCTTCGTGTAAATAAGACGAGTGGAAACAGTTTACCGCAGTTTTCTATTACAAATTCATATTATAGTCTTTCGGAATATTGACTGCCTATTGCTCGATTTTTCCACACTTAATAAATCTAAAACACAAATGTAGTCTACGTTATGTCGATAACGAATTAAGATATTCTTTTCAATTCGTTATACTAGGAAAAGCGGTCCTCGGCCCGGCCTAGCCCCTTCGGTTCGGACGCTATTCGTACCAGAAATTTTCAGACCATCGGATCCTTGGCCGGGTTAACCCCGGGCCCCGCCTCCATTCCCTCGTGGCCAAACCTCCCGTCCCCGCCGGCTTCGCTCCCTTCTTCGGAAATTCCGTGACAGTTGGTGGACGTCGGTGGCGCCGTTCTTATTTTTCTCGTGACGATATTAAGCCAAGAACGGTATTATATATATATAAATAGTAGAGAGGTTGAGGCGCACGTTTTAAACGTGTAAACGTGTACGTGTGACGTTCGGCGCCGCTTTCCCGTAAGCCTAAAAGTTTGACGATGGTGTTTGGAATGTCGAGCGTGATTCCACCGACTATCCAAACACCATTGTCAAACTTACGGGAAAGCGGCGCCGAACGTCACACGTACACGTTTACACGTTTAAAACGTGCGCCTCAACCTCTCTAGTATATAGAGTAGACAGAGCATTATATGGACCGGGATAAAATATTTCTAAAACCAACCCGTCTGGAACGGAAACCTGTCTAAGTAGAAAATGATTATCGAAACCACGTCAAATACCATTATAACTATGAAAGCGAAAAGGCAGAATTTTTATCGACAAATTACGTAAGGTAATACGTAACGGTTAAAAGTTTTACACCGTAACCGTACCTATAACCTGGCCGGTAACTTCGCCTTTCGTACGAAACGCGTTTTTCGTACACGGGTAAACGCTTCGACTTATCGACGTTAGATTCGTAGATTTCTTTGTTTAGTTTCTCTGGTTGCGCGGTATTCGGTTAGTGTACGATTACTTTCTCCTGTCAATTCTCGGAGCCAAGCTATTTAGTAGATATTTTTTGTCCGGCAATATAATAAATACTATTAAAAGGTATTGGTCACGTTTATCGAAGACTTTTCTTCGCCTTTTCTAAATTCGTCTAATTTTTAATACGGTCGAATCTCCATTCGGCCCCGCTACCCCAGGTCCCCGGACGTGACAATTATAAATAGTAAGAGGTTAACGGGCGCGTTTAAGTTTTAGGGTTCGAATGTCGGGCCATTTGGCGGTAACGGCCACGGGCCGAGTACAAATTCGCGGATATTTGTGGAGAAGATTCGCTGGCCCTTTCGACAATAAGCGCTACGTGGAAATTTGACCGTATCATTAACCTACCGTACTGTGCCTAATAAAATCGACTGGTAAAACGCGAAAAATGTAAAGGACCAAGACGACTAGAAAGAAAATTTATTTTGTATTAAGGTTACTGATACGTTTGTCTGTAAACGACTTAATTAAAATAATACGTAGCCTCTCGTTTTCCTCGTGTTTGGGCTTCAATTTGAAAAAATTGTACACCGATACATTCCCAGTGTCGTCCGTCCGTCCGTCTTTCCGTAATCTCGAGTCCGAAGTTAGATAGACGAAAGACAAGATTACATACGGACACTTAGGGCCGGGAAGTTTATATATAGTTGGGGCCGGGAGATCTCGATTAACTATATATAAACTCCGATGCCAACCGGAAGTCAGATTATCGCCATTCAAACATTTTCCCACCAAAGGAGTTAGACGGATGACCGGCACGACTCTATTGTTAAAGGAAAAGTATGACGTACGTACGGGGGCAAACCCCTACTAATTCGAGACGGATAGCGTATTCTTTAAATTAAATAAATTAAAAATTGCAGCCCGGCACGGTTACCGTGTGGCAATAAATATTGACTTTTAAAAATTGTATTATAAAGTTTTTCGTAATAAATTTTCGGTAAACTATTTTTTCTTAAAAAACAAAGAATGGGAAGGAAAAAGTAAGTGGTAGAAAATGTTTTCGAGGATCCCGTAAACGTGAAATCCGAACCAAATACCTTATCGCGGTCGTCCCGGGTGGCGAATTCCTCCAGCCAGAATTAAGAAATGACCGTATCCTTTCGTTTGTTTCCGTAAATTTGACCCAGGCCGAAGTCGGACCGTTAACACATTCCGTCCGAGTTTATCGTCCGTCTTCGTGCCTAGAAAGTGTAAGTCGTCGACTCGACCGATTTCCTCATTATTTATTTTAATTTGAAACGGAATATATATACAGTAGAACCTCCATTATCTGGACTTCCATTATCCGGATTTTCGATTATCCGGATTGTTCAAAATAAACAAAAAATTTACTAATTTGCTGACTTGCACTCGGCGAATTACGACACTGTTTATGTACGTGATGGAATGCATAACTTTTTTTGTTTCAACAACGTCTCACCCAGCACAGTAATCGTAAACTCTTAAATATATTTTACGTAGTAATAAAAATATAACTTGACATACGTATTTATAAATAATTTATATTCAAATTACATCATTTCTATGACCAAGGGCGGCGTAAGGCATGGACGACGTGGGCCACCGCCTATGCCTGGCAGTCCGAAGGGCCTCGCGCCTCGAAGGTTTATCCATTACTTAAAAGCCGAGAAGGCGACGAAAAAATTTTACTCGTCGTAAAATGATAAATAGTTTGTCAAATTTTTATTCATAAAAATGCAGTTTCGACTGCTTTTTATTTTATAAAATCCGTCTTCTCGCGCCACCAGAGGGCCTTTTAAACAATAGGTAGTCTCCTTTTAGTGGAGGTCAGTAGTAGTCGAAATTCGATGCGAACGTTTGTTTCTTGAAAATTTGATCACGATTTAAATACAGTATTTNTCGAGCCCTGCCGGCCACGGAATCTCGGAGGTTTCGTCTAGCCGCGGCGGGTCCCCGGCCAATTCGGACCCGCCGTTCTATTTCCTATAATAAAATATTTATCACCCGTCTTCCTTCCTTCGCCCCTTTTCGAAACCTTAAAAGCTCTCCCGGGAAACGGCCACCGCCCGACCGGAGGGAGTAAAACAACGCCGTCGACCGGGCGAGTTAAAAGACAAATTAAAGTATTTGTTTCGATTATCCGGATTTTTCCTTATCCGGACTACCTTTATCCCCAATTAGTCCGGATAATCGAGGTTCTACTGTATATATTTGTCTGTAAAACACAGAAATTTAATCTTATCGGTATCGATACACAGATTATTAATTTTCAGATATCCAGTTCATTTTTTAATATATTATTTAAATCATCGGGAATAATCCCGGTATTAAACACATTATAAGATGGGTTTGAGGTAGAAATTCCAAAAGAACGTTAACGTAAATATTACGCAAGAAGAGACGTAAAACGAACCCCGGTGGAATTCTTTTCTTAAGTATAAACGAATTCGAAATAGAGTCGTTAGCTTTCGCGCAATACGGTATTTACGATTTAAAGGACAATAACCGGGGCGACGACGGGTCCGTCGATCCTATTTTAAAATTTGCCTTCGAGAATGGCTCGAGAATGTCGAATAAATCGACGCCATCGAGAGCTTTAGACAGATCGACAAATACCGATACCACCCGAGGGAATGCCGGGCCTAAAGGCCCCCGACCGAGTACGGAAATTTGGTGGAGACGGGAGGAAACCGAAAACGGCGCGCGCCCGACAAAGAGAAAGGCGTAACAATTAAATAAAGAGCGCCAGATCCCACGGTGGCGCGTTCTTTATTTTTATAATTACTCGTTTCCTATAATTACCCGTGACGGACGGGCGTTATCGGTGACGCCGCTTCCGAAAAGGGGACGATCCGGGGCTTATCGCCACCGGGACGACGAATAAAAGAGAAAACGACACCGGGACGGAAAGAAGAGAATGCGGGAAGAGGACACCCCATCGGAGTTTTCGGAAGTGGACGTGGCCTTCGGGGGTCGCGGCTGGCGCCCCGTCTCGGCCCCGACCGGAAGAAGGGACTCGGCCGATTCGGTCATGAAACCGCCCCCCGCTCGGACCCGGGATGCGATAAAATCTGGAAAAGAGGTGAGTACCCAGCCCGAAAATCTCCCTGGTCTAATCCGCCCCGGAACAGGAATTTATTCTCTGGGAGCCACCGGCCGTTCCGAATTCCGTGGAGTTGGGCCAAGCGGCGCGCTTTGAAAACCGCGCCGTTGGGCCAAGCGGCGCGCTTTGAAAACCGCGCCGTTGCGGGACCGGAGACGTGTCCGGGCGGTGACGAATGGGTCGAGGCAACCCGTTTACGGACTCGATCCAAGCCAGTCCGGGTCCTTCCATTTATACCCACTTCTCCCTTTCCGGAAATCCGGCCAGACGGCCGCGGCCGAGATAAATTTATGCCCCGCTACCGGGTATACGCGGTCGTCGAGTTCGTCGACGACCGCGCTAGGAAAAACGAGAGGAGACGCTTAATCGGCCGATAAACTCCGTCTGCCGGGCGGAAAGAAGCGGGAAGGGTCGAAGTTTCTCGGCAGCGGCGAGAAGCCAAAGGCCGGCACTCGAAAGGTGCTGGAGAAACGCTTCGACTTATCGACGTTAGATTCGTAGATTTCTTTGTTTAGTTTCTCTGGTTGCGCGGTATTCGGTTAGTGTACGATTACTTTCTCCTGTCAATTCTCGGAGCCAAGCTATTTAGTAGATATTTTTTGTCCGGCAATATAATAAATACTATTNGATAAACTCCGTCTGCCGGGCGGAAAGAAGCGGGAAGGGTCGAAGTTTCTCGGCAGCGGCGAGAAGCCAAAGGCCGGCACTCGAAAGGTGCTGGAGAGAGCGCCGCCGCGGACGCCTTTTCTGGGAGTAACGACGCATTTCCGAGTCTACCATCTCACGCGCGGCTTCCACGGAAAATCGTGCCGTAGTTTCTGTCGCCTGCGGAGTTTGAAACTCGGAAATTGTTTTGCCGCTGGGTCGACGCGGAGAGGAAAGGGGGAAGTTTCCGAATCGTCGGGGAGAGGAAGGACAAAAAAAAAGAGACGGTGCCCGGTAATCCGGAACGAGTGGCTCGACCCGCGTAGGAAGAACGGTCCGGAGAAACGGCGACGGGTTTAACCTTTATTAAATCGGGCTATCCCGACTTTATTACGGTAATTAGAGTGGCGGCGCCACCGGCCGAATTGGTTTTACTTTCTAAATGCGGGGCGGAATGGGATTTTACCGTCATCCCACCGGTAGGACTCTCTGCCCGGGTAAGGAGATCGCATTTCGGGTGGACGAAAATCCGTCCCTTTTTATCCGTCCTAACGAATTAAAGCGATAAAAAGGGAGAAAACGGGCTTCCGTCGACTCGCGCCGCCGCCTGCCGAACGGGCTAATTTAAAAAAATTTGGTTTTCAGACGGAGGACCCGCCTACCGGACCGAAGTTCGGGACCTTTCAGGGAGACGGGCAGGCGGCAAATTCCTTCCCTCGGCTCCCGCTGCCACGCCGTCCGGAAACTCCAACGAAAGATCCCTCGAGCCCTGCCGGCCACGGAATCTCGGAGGTTTCGTCTAGCCGCGGCGGGTCCCCGGCCAATTCGGACCCGCCGTTCTATTTCCTATAATAAAATATTTATCACCCGTCTTCCTTCGCCCCTTTTCGAAACCTTAAAAGCTCTCCCGGGAAACGGCCACCGCCCGACCGGAGGGAGTAAAACAACGCCGTCGACCGGGCGAGAAAATCGGAGGCGAACGATGGAGAAAATAGAAATTGTTTCGTTTCTTGGCCAAAGTGACCGTTCCTCTGTATCCACCCGGTAAATTGAAATAATATTTTTGAAGAAGCCAGTTAAACCGGTTGAAAGGACGATTTTGTAATTAGTCAACCTACTTTTACCTATTACATACTTTGTTTATTTTTACCAGTAAATAGAAAAGTCTGGAATGACGCTCGATATCCAACCCCCGAATTAACGAAGACGAGAAATATGTAAAATAAAAAATACTTTGAAAGCAAAAAGTATAAGGTTGTCCAAAAGTATTTCTTTAGCCGCTTCCGACATACAATAATTAATCGGACTACGCTACGCAGTTGCCGAACGTTTACTAAGTTGCGAATAACTCTTATCTGCTGGTTCGTCAGTCTTAACCGTATTTATATATTTTTTACATAATTTTTTAAGCTTCCGTCGTCCGGTCGTCGCCTACCGCGTAACACGGGGCGGGACCGATTGCGGCGCGAATCCGTCGTCGGAAAGTCCGGAGCTAATTTACGGGGGCTCCTCTTCCGCGCCTCCGCCCATCGACACCTTTTCCGTCTTTCGGCGGTCGCTCGTTGGGTCGAAACGCCGGTCCTTAGTCGGACTGGGGGTGGACCGGCTCTCGCAGTGCCGGCCCGAGGCAAGTTTTAGGATGGAGCGAAAACCTATTATGGCGCCTCTTCTTCTTCTTTCTTTGTTTTCTTCTTGCAGGTGTTAATATGGAGAGTATAGCTCAAATAGGCTCTTTCTCCGATAGACTTGTGTATGATCGCTATGCGACCGATGAGCCAGCCGTACCCGAACGGCCTAATCGCGCGCGCGGGAAATAATGCCTTCCGGGAGGACTTTTATGGGAAACTGGCCTCCTATTCGGTCGTTATTGGCAAGGAGAAAACCCGGAAAACTCCAAGCAGCCAGTCTGTCCGACCGTAGCGCGAACCCACGACGAACCTCCCAGTCTTTAGGGTCTGGTCACCACTACGATGAGCGGCAACGGAGACCACGCGCCCACTGGTGGGGGCCCCTCTCTTCGTTGCCCCTAATTTATACCCTTTATTTCAAAATATTTTATTTTCAAAAAAGACACTGTGGCCAGGTTGGCCTTTTACAAGCATCTTAACAGTTAATCAAAACAAACAAACAAACAAACAAAAATCAGGACGCGAGCTGAAAAAGAAAAATTAATTAACAACTGAACTTTAATTTACTTTATCACTGAAGCGCCCCCTAGGACTTAGCGCCTGGAGCGGCTGCTCCGTTTGCCCTATGGTAGGGCCGGCTCTAGGCTCTCGTATAGGAGAAATTGCCCGCTTAACACGCCGAATCCGTAACGAAAATTTAGCATCTTCTCGGATCGGAAAGGTAGAGAAGCCGCCGCTCTACTACTAGCGACGCCGGTCGATTGCACTTATTTCGTCACAAGGTATATATTTTTATCGCTCGGACGGCGTGGGTCTAGGACTTTGACTTCCTCGGCCCGAAAGCCGGTGGGGAAGATTCCTAGGACGGTAGCGGCCTTCCGGGCCCCGCCGAGCCCGGTCGTACCTCTCCTTCGGAAGTTGGTTTCTCTTTATCTTTTCTCGCTTTTCGCGGTCGACCTTGGCCCGCTTCTCTCACTCCGCCGCCTTCTATTTTTAGAAAATTCCGGTTTACTGTTTTCGCCCGTAATGTCTTTGTCTGCCGCCGTTTTTATTCTTTCTTTTCCTCCCCTCCGTCCTTCTTCCCTTCTCACCCCTCCCGTCACTCGGGTTTGAATCCACTCTACGCGCTCGGCACTCGGTCTTGGATTTTATCGAGGGAGCGCGCGGCGGAAGGGTCCGCTCTCGGTCTTTTCTTTTCTCTGCAGAGAAGAGAAACACCGTATCGGCGGAGGAAAACTCTCCGCCGACTGCCCCGTTTCGTCTACCCGGCGCGGAAAGAACGAAGGCGCAAATAAACACCTAAGAAACAATTAGAACGTCGAGGAAGACGGTAACCGGCAAGTTTCGGGCCGGGAACCGTCGGTAGAGGTGTGGAGAAATACCTACGGTTTCTCTGGCGCGCCGTGATCCCTAGACCCTTCGGACGGGCTGGTGGGGATCCCGGTCCGGAGGAACCGAAATCGGCCAACGAATACGGCGATTTATAAATAATTATTCGATTTTAAAATTACTACTCTCTCTTTCTTTTTCCGTATATTTTCCAATCTACCTCTTCCGCCGTCGCTTCCTTATTAATTAAACGGCAACGGGAGACGAATTTTGTATTCGGTGGAGGGGGAGAGGCCGCCGCTCCCACCGCTCTTCCCGTTAACTAGCGTCCGTCTTATATATATTTTTTCTTTTTTTTATAAAGAAAAGACACCGTAGCCGAGTGGCCTTTTTCTAGTGTCTACAAACAAAATAGGAAACCGGTAAATGGTGAAAAAATCGACAATATTAAACCCAAGGTCGATCGAGCCAAGCTAGGACAAAACAAAATTTTTAACGTTATTTTTCAATACACCGTAATTCGATATTTGCCGACATTCGTTACTTAATTTGTTCCCATAGATTAACGTTTGGAATACGGGTGACGATTTTCCCACCGTCGGTCTACCGCGGGGATAGAGTAACCGCTAATCCTTCGGATATTTCCAATAGAGACGTTACCATATTTCTTATTGTATCTTCCGGGTAACTATTATCCTTCTCACCTTTAACGAATCTGTGGCCGGCCGGTAAAACTCGTTTTACATATAAGCTACGGATTCCGTCAATTTTATCAATTCGATAATATTCCCACACCCAACCTCTAAAATGTCGGCTTTACCGCGAATTATGGACGGATATAATTTCTTCGGATGAGGAATACCGAAAAAAATTCCGAATTTTTCTCGTTATTCCGGCCAACCTGGCAAGAGACGGGGCAATATTATCTATCTGTCCGCTGATTTTATCCTCGTTAATTCGGATTTGCGGATGATCCGTATTAACAGTTTTATTTCTATTTGCAAAGTAGAGAAATTTTGTCCTACTACTATTTGTTTTTAATTTATTCCTTTCCCCGTAATTATTTAATTTACTTAATATTTTGTTTTGATTGACTCGAATACGTAACAGAAGATAACGTTATCTTCTGTTACGTATTCGAACAAATCATTGATATATATAGACTATACTGTATATTAAAGAGTGGAGGACCCCTGGGGAATAACCTCGTTTGATTTAAGGAATCTACAGATAGAAGTTTCTACTTTAACGTAATAATATCTTTTTGACAAATAAGACTAACCAATTTAGAGGAGTTCCTCTTAGACCGACGTTTCTCAACTTTTTTCTAAAATCTGGACATCCAAACTGTCGAAGGGTTTAGAAAAACCACAAAATCGAAATTGTCGTATTCGATCCGTTCAATTGGCAGGTAATTAACTGCCGAAGGTACTGTACTCTACGTGTACAGTACATTAATTAACGCATCCGTCGTGGAAAAGCCCGCTGGAAGGCGTATCGATAGCCACGAATAATTTTAAATTTATTTATGTAATTTGAGAACTTTTTCTATAATTTTCGCCAGAATAGACGCCATTGTTATCGGACGATAATTATCCGCGTGGTATTCGGATTCTTTATACATCGATAATACCGAATGATGATTTGGCTTTTCCGGGAAGAAACCATTTTCGAAAGACCTATTTATCAAATATGATAATGACGCGGCTATAATATCGGATATATATTTCAATATATTCATTCTTAAACGATCGATATTACTTTTTAGCTTCATTATTACGTTAAACATTTCTGAAAGAGCGGACTTTTCCAAAAAGAAAGCGTTCGATACGTTAGAACTGGTTATATAACGTCGCGCGCTAGTTCTGTCTGAGACAATAGCGGAGAAACCGTCCGCGGATGTACAACCGTCGGCAAATATATTGCTCGTTGCTCGCTTGTCTCTTTCTCCATCTCGATTACTTCCGAAGATAAACGTTTAATCCTCTGGCAGAATTCCGAAAGAGAGTCGGGATAGGAAAACATTCTTTGGTAATAGTTCTTTTCCTCTATTCGACTATTCCTTTTCATTTGTTTATTCGAGATTTTTATTTGGCTCCCCTCGAGCCGTAGTATTTCTCGTTTTCTTATTCCTAAACGGAGCTTTCTTCTTTATTATTAAGGCCGATAAAATTTTTCTTAACCGATTCGAATTCAGCCTTCGGCAAAGTTACGTTAAAGTCTCCTATTATTCTGTAATTTATAGTTTTTATATTTAGTTTTATTATAATCGATTACGGTATTTATTACGTCGAGGAAGATACCGTAATCGGTGGCTAGTCAACGATAGATTATTATTATAATAATAATGTTGCTTACGACTATCGTTATAATTGTTATATATAGGCTAATCTTTTGTATATGTCGGTTTCGACGTAACGTCATAACTCGTATTTTTATATAGCCTATATATGATATAATGCCACCCCGTTTATTAGGTTGCCTTTCTATTTTCTCGATACAATAATCTTTTATTCTCGGAGGAGGATTGTCGTTATTTGTCCGAGTTTCGCAGATTTCCAGTATATCAAAGTTGTAATCATATCTACCTACTATATTAATTACGTCTAAATATTATTTAAGCCTCTAGCGTTACGATACGACACAAAAAGACCCTTTCTAGAGAAGTCGACTATTTTACGGCCAAAGCCCGATTCCTTCAACCACCGGGACCGTAGAATACGTCTCCGGTCGGTAAACGATAGGGGAGATGGGGACGTAGAAGACCGCTTAAGATATCGAGGTGGCTCTTTACTATCGACGTAGCTTAAAATCAGATCGCGCGTAACCGACACATAAATAGTTTTGCCAAATCTTATCTATTAACTTAGTAATTAGATTAATAAAACCTATCTTATACGGTCCTCTCGGCTCCGGCATTGGGAGCGAAAGAGACCGATAGTGGAGTGAAAAGGACCGGTAGTTGTCACAAAAGTGAAAAGAAACTATTATAGTTTTAAATTTTAAGACGTTAGAAATTTTTTTAATGTCAAAATAAATCACATTTTGTACAAAAAAACAACCTCTTGGTTTTTTTAAATGTAAGCGGAATAAAATAAACAAAACTTTTTCAAAAATGAATTTAAACAAAACATAAACAAAATTCTTTTTCAAAAGTAAATTAGTTTCGGTTGAAAATTGCACTTTAAGCCATAAGTTTTAACTGCGTAAAAGACACACGAAATCGTCACCGTCGTCGTCCCGTCGGTTGTTCCAACACACTGGTCGCCAGTCC